AGTGAGCGAACGAGCCGAGCGAGCTGAGCTGAGCCAAGCCAAGCCGAGTTGAGTTTCAAACTCGAAATGTGCATCACCACCACCACCACCACCACCACCGGTTACGATTATTTCGCGTAATCCCCAGGCCTCTGCCAACATCCATTTCAGATTACTGATTGTGAGTACGTTGCCCACATATTATCATCCCGTATACTCCAATTCGATGTTCTCAATGTCCTTTCTGGCTGACATGATTCTTAAAACTATTCATGTTATATTTATTTCATTTTTCTTTTTTCTCTCCTTCCTTTAAGATCTTTTTTTTATCATTCCATGTAATTACAAACTTTCGTTATGTTATCTAATACAATGAGGCCATCGGTACATCTACCATAATATAATAATTCCCTCCCCTCATTCCCTCGTTCCATTCAAATGTGTACCGGGCCAAAAACTTTGTTGTTATCAGTTTAAAGAAAATTACTGAAATCATTGTTTAACGCAATTCCTAATACGTTTTCACGAATTTATCTCAAGTCCAATCTCTTCTTAGTTAAATCATTAAAATTTAGATATTCTTGTAAAGATCGAACCCAGGCCAGAATTAACTTTCTCTCTGTCTATCTCTCTCTCTTCCTCTTGTTATCTATCTATCTGTATCTCTATCTCTCTCCCCTCCTGCCCTCCTCTTCAACTCCGGTCAATCGATTCCGTCTACCCTACGGTTTGACAACCTCGACGCTTCTCTCCGCACTTCCACCCTCGCGACACGCAGACAGGGTGAAAGAGAGAGAGAGAGAGAGAGAGAGAGAGAGAGAGAGAGAGATACGTGTGTCTACCACATACGGGTTCTATCGCTTCCCGTTTTAACCATTGCCAGGAAGAATGCAATTTTCCGTCATCGAATGCCGTACTGCTGGCAGTTTTACCATCCGTTTCATTATTCCTCTTTTTATCACGTTTATCACGTTTATGTTCTTTCATTTGACTTGATTTGATTTTTATCCATAAAAAAACAAGAATAACGTCTTACTCCCAGAGCCTTTTACATTTTCTCTTAAAACTATTCAGTTTTGTATTTGAATTTCCCCCCTCTCTTTCCTATAAATCCTCTTATTCATATTTATTATTCTCCCTTTTTTATTTTTTGTTCAATATTTTAAAGTTATGCTTAGTTCAGAAAGAATAAGAAGGGACAAGAGAAAAGGGAGAGAGAAAAAGTATGAGAGAAAGAGAGAGAGAGAGAGCAGTAGCAGCAGCAGCCTTCATTCGTTTAGTACGAAATTTCGATTCTCTTCGTTATGTCCTTTGTCCTATTGTTAATTCCTGAATAAGTAGTTCCCACCTTGTCAGTTTTCATGGCAGGTTCTGGATGCATTCTCTCTCCCTCTCTCTCTTTTTCTCTTTCCCTTGCTTTGTCCTTCGGCCGATTGGGAGCAGAACCGCTCGTCAGCCCCCTTTCCGCTAGAGTTGTTACGAGGAGGCTCTCTGCCCTCTTTAGGCCTCCTATTTCTCCTCGACAGTGCGACGATATCGAGGCACTTCTCTCTTCCTCGAGTTGCCGCAATTACGTGGGTCCTAGATGTCTTCTTCTTCTTCTTCTTCTCTTCTCTTCTTCTTCTTTTTCCCTCTGACCCACAACTCCTTTTTCTTTTCTATTCTATTCTATTCTATTCTGTTCAGTTCAGTTCTGTTCTATTCTATTCTATCCTTTGCTATTCTTTTCGTCTCTCTTTCTTTTTTTGTTTTGTTTTTGTACTCTTTAAAGTCTCTTCGAAATTTAACAATGAAATTTAACAAAGATAATGTTTCTCATCTAACCATACTTGTTTTCTTTCTCATTATTATTCACATCATTTTGGTCTTACTTTATCATAATATTTATTTAAAATGATAATGATGATGATGATGATGATAATGATGGAGGCACATTTAAAACATTTTATTTTCTTATTATTCTAGTCAAGTTTTCTACAATATTAAAGTCTCATCTTCTGTCGGACACAGAATTCTTTTTTGAATTTCATCATTTTCTTAAGTTCGTTTCCGCGTTGAGACGAGAACTCGGATTCGCGAAATAAGATGATATATAATTTAAAACGCCATCTGCTAGCCTCTTTCTTCTCCACCCTAACGATAGAATCTCTCACAAAATTAGAATTCTTTTTTAAGGTCGGTAAGCTAATTACCATTCCGTTGCCAGCTCTTGATTATAGTTTCGAAACGTTTCGGGATCGACTCTCCTCGAGCTCTCTCTGAAGGTAATTGCCAAAATCATGATTGCGTTTTATACGAATTCTACGTCTTCTCTGTTTTTTCGAAAGGGCAATGTGGAAATTTCGATGAAATAGGGTCGAAGCTAGCCAACCAATTACTGTGCTGTATAAAGGAAACAAAAAAATAATAAAAAAAGAAAAAAGAAAAAAGAAAATTAAATAAAATATAAATATAAATAAAATAAAATAAAATAAAATAAAAAATGAACATACCTAATGCAGTTAAGATAATGTACAAGTCTCTAGTGTGATACATTTCTACGCTTATTCTCTAACTGTAGTCGTGAAGTCTAAAGTACGATACCTCGTTATGGTTTGTAACACGGAGAAGTAGTCCTGTAATAACTAAATAATAATAACAATAATAAAATAATAACAATAATATTAATAATATTAATAATATTAATAAAAATAATAATAATAGTAATAAACAACAATAATATTAATATTAATATTGATAATATTAATAATAATAATAATAATAATACAACATAATAATAATGAATAATATTAAAATAAAATATTATTAATAATAATAATAATAATAATAATAAAGTACGATCAAAAATCTGCTTAGGCTGACTGTTAAACTCGCGAAAGACGTATTGTATTTCTGTAGGGAGGAATTGTCCTAATAATTGCGAATCGAACATAAGGTTAAAAAGCAACAAAAATAAAAAAAAAATAAAAATAAAAGGAAAAAAAAAAGAGAGAGAGAGAGGAAACGAGCAACTTCACTGAGAGAACGTGAATAAAGAAAAGAAAAGCCCATAATACATAACAAGAAAAATATAGAGACGTACGAATCACCAATTTATGGATGAATGAATGCGCGAATATTAATGAATGGATGAGTATGATGATGGACGATCGACCAGTCTTCTTGGCTGATTAAACGTGTGCGTGCGTGTATGTGTGTGTGTGTGTGTGTGCGTGCGTGTCACTTTAGCGAGCAAAGTATTTCGACGAGAGTATAGTGTTCGGAATGTACATAATTCTTGTATATAACGAACGAATCACTGATTGTACAATACCACCCAAATATATTTATATTTCATGTTAATGCAATTTTTCTAAAAAGGACCTACTTTTTTTAATCTACGCATATATATATATATATATCGTCCATAAATTGAAATACCACATTGTACAATGATTTTCGACGAAAAGACGTTTTATTACCATATTATTTACTAGACGTATTTAAAAAAAAAAAAAAAGAAAAAAATACCCGTTCATCGTCATCACCTTGGTAAAAGCGGAAATTGATGTCTAACGTTTCTCATCGAAGTGAGAATTTTTTCCGTTCCTCTTTTTTTTTCCTTTTTCCCCCTTTTTTACCTCCTTCGGAGTATCGATTAAATGGATGGGGTAAGTACAGTAGCATGTTATAGCATTAAAACGAAGTTTATAACATAATAGGGGGTACTTTCGAATTCGAGAGATTATTCGGCGATGGAATGGAATATATATATATATCCATCCCATCGTGTTATTTCTTCTTGTGCATTTACAGTGGCAATTATGCGTCGACTATGATACAACACGTGGTAGTCGGGACGGTCTAATTAGTCCTTGGAATCGGTAAAGCCTTTGCTAAAGTCGACTTAATCCTATTGTTAGTTTTTATGTAAGCAAAAGGATTTCACGGAAACAGAGAGACAGAGAAAAAAAAAGAAAAGTATAAAAGTATTTAAATGATCGAGAATAATAATATAATTCTATTTTATTAAAGGTCTTATATTACGTAACGAAGATATACATATAACGTTAGTTGAATTCATACTTTGACAATATGACTTTTTTCGACATCATAAATTATAGAGATAAAAACAGTAGAAAAGGTAATTATTCAAAAGTTAAATAATAAAAGAGGTGAAGGACTAGAATGATACTATATTTAATAAAATGAAATAATTAAGTTAACACTAGTGATATAATAATATTTAACAAATGTCTATGAAATGTTGAAAATTCTTATTATATAAGAATACTATTTACAAATAATGAAAAAATGAGAGGGTTTGTGCTTTTGATGTGAATATTATATTTCCGTGTAGGAAATGTCATGATTATAAAGATATTTAATAGTTAATTGATTAAACGATTATTTCGTAAAATAGAAATGACTGTACATCGTTTTAATGTGAATAAAAGAAAGAATATTATTCGTTCATTAGTGACGTATGCTTAAATTGCATCGTCAATAGCAAAATCTAAGCAATTCTAAAGCTTCTGCAATTGATTGTACTTCGTATGCAATTTTTTGACTAGTGGAGCCCCCATTTTTTCGAAAAACGAAGCTCTAGCTGTCAATTAGACTGGTGCTGCTCTTTGGATCAAGTGACAACTTGCAGCAACGATAGAATAGTAATGATTGGTTCATTTTGGACATGCGTAGAACTTGTCCAATTTGTCCAATTCCACGCACCAATCAGATTTAACTAGATATGTGGGTAAATAGAACACTTCGATGTTAGATTACATAAGTATTGCAGATTTCAGTTTTTTTACATTTCAATATAATTGGTTTGTGTATTGTAAACGGAATCCTTATTTTTATATCTTCATATGATACATTTTTAAAAGGAAGATTATAAAGAAGATAATGAAGAATCATTTATAACTTTTATAGATCTTTTTCTAGTTACATTTATATAATACGTATGTATAACTGTTTTTGTGGTGTAACACGGCCTTTAGTGATAGGAACTATATAATTCTTTTCTTGTAAATGACACCTAAAGATGAACTAGGTACCGGCTGATAAGATTATATGGAAGCATGATCCATGCCGCAAGAATTGCTTCAGGGTACTAAGAGCTCCTGAATTAACACGTTTAATTATTCTCGTTAAAGTATAAAGTAGTAAGTGTACGAGTTGCTGAAAACCTGTCTGTGTAATATGTATTATTTATACGCTTTTCTGTTAGTACTTTTAAACACGTAATAACTTCTTTGAATATTCCTTTAACTTAACCTCTCTATTAAATAATTTATTTCTTAATCAACATTGACAGTTATTTTACGTTCATTTGTTATCTGGGGAATATATAATATATGTAATATTAAGTTATTCTTTGTTTTTTGTTTTTTTTTTCCAGTAAACTGCCAGAATTGTGGACTGCAATAACAAATTTTGTATACTCGAAGAAAAGTATTATATAAACTTGAAGACTTGATTAAAGTCCAAAATCGTGAAAGAAACTTTGTAATGTAATATTATAATATATATATATTTATTTATTGAAATAGAAATTATTTTCATGCAAGGTTTTCTATCGTAAAACGATTGTTGAAGTATAGTTTAAATATACGGACTAATATTTCAAGACGACATCACACGAATTACATTAAATTCTATTGTTTTATTAATAAAGTAAGTATATTAAAAAAAATTTTCCATATATATATATATAAGGTGAATTTTATTATCATTTTTATTTTGGAATAAACAAATTTCTATAGATTGTATAATAATATTTAATTGTTCAATCTTATATGTATTTTTTATTTTATTTTTAGTTTACCATCATGCCTCTGATTAGTCAAAATGGTAAAGATACTATTATTTTTGCATCTAAAGAAGATCATGCAACGCCTTGTACGATCGAGCTTCCAGAACCAGAACCAAGTCCTGGATTGATATTACCTAATGGGGAAATTAATTGGAATTGTCCCTGTTTAGGTGGAATGGCAACTGGTCCTTGCGGTTTAGAATTCCGTGAAGCTTTTTCATGTTTCCATTATTCTACTGCTGATCCAAAAGGTGCTGATTGTCGTGAGCAATTTACAACTATGCAAATATGTATGTCAGATTATCCTGAATTATATGGTAGTAAAGAATCAGATGATGATACAAATAAAATATCGAATTCTGATATGGATACTGTAAAAGACGTTGCTGCGGAAAGCAATGATAAAGTTAAAAAAGAAATTAACGAAGGAAGTTGACTGACAGAAACAAAACAAGACACTTCTGGTAGAAATGAAGAGATGAAATATGTTGCAATAAAATAAAATCAATGCACTGAGCATTTTACAATACAGATTATTTTATTTTTTATTGTTATTATAGCTATTTGAAAAAAAAAAGGGACTGATTAGGAAACCTGGCGGCAAGCTGATGCAGACTTAAATAGTCTAATAATGTATACATTTGTCGTACATACAAACAATTTATATTTATGTCACGTTTATCTTTTCACTTCATTAATATTTGTACAGAGTCGTATAGAAGCGTAATTACAATTAACAAGAGAATGATGAATTTATTTGTGAAATGCAATTCGATGCATGATTTTTCTCGTCAAGTTTAATATTCATGTTTTCATTAGAAATGAATTTAGCATAGTGTTGCATACATTTTTACGAATCGTCGTAACAATAATTTTTGTTCAATTGAATAAAACTCAAATAATAATTTGTATTCGTATGTGTATGTTTAATTCTATATTATCAAGCGAGAAAATAGTCTGTGTTAAAGTTTTTAAAATAGCATTATTTTCTGTGATGATAATACGTTTAAAAAGATGATTTTTTCGAGCATATTTCACATGTTAAAATGTAATTTTTTACAAAATCTCAAAAATTAGGATGATGAACATTCATAATATTTCATCGAAATATTTAATGATAGGAATCATTATCACGTGCAATGCATGATGCAATACGAAACTTGGGAAATTTTTTTTTCCACTAGCTACAACCATTTTTAATAATATACAATGTATTTATAATATCATTTTTATTAAAGATATATTTAAATATGAAAATTGTTATTTTAGTAAAGATGGAATTATAAAAATTTTAGCATCATTTCAATTTATCAAATTATTATGTCATAAACAAAATTTTTATACGAATATAAAGTTTTTTGTTATGGTGGTACGGCTGCAATGCCGTAAAGTTGGTAGCGCGTAAATGTATAGTAAGGCTCATGTTGTCCCATTGTATTTTGTTGTGATATTGAGTTTAAGAGTGTTGACAGTTTTCAAAATTGTGTTACAGAAATAATACAAATAATTTCATTTGTTTTTTGAATTTTCAAGTAACATGTATTACTTGGATGTTTGTTTGTAAGTAATTTTGCTATTATTTTCCAACTATTTACTAGTTTGTTGCAAACATAACCTATATTTGTATCGTTACATTATATACCATATTAACAGTTAATATATTATGTATAAAGAGATTTAATTGAAAATATTTATAAAAGATTATATTTGATCAAAAAATCGTATTTATTTGCAGAGAACTTGAAGACTCTTCTGATATTGAATTAGGTCATGTTATCCTAAAGAAGAACATACTAGAAGCAGTGAAGCAATTTTTTGGAGAAGAAGGGGCCAAATCTAAGATTGATATACTAAAATACAATATTCCAGAACGTAGATTTGTTTTACGTTGTGAAAATGGTTTTTACGTTAAATTACGAGCATCTTTAACAGTGGCAGGATACTTTGAAGGCAAGCCATGTGTATATAACGTACACAGAGCATCACCGAATTTACTATCATTTGTTGGTGATAGTAGAAATTATGAACATTAATGAATAACATTTGATGAATGAACGTTTTATATCTTTTATACAATACTTTCATCGATAAATCGTCATATCAGTGTTTTAAAAAAGACTTTGAACAATAACTTTTTTGTATAACATATCTATATACAAAGTCGAATTAACAATTAATTTGTATAATATTTTCTTGCCATATAGGATATTCATATTAAGCGCGTTTTCGAAAGTAGTGACAATTTTTATCGACAGAGGGCACACTGTTAGAGAAACTAGCGTCCTACGTTACGTAGGCTGGCCAGTGACGTCATCTGTTGTCTCCCTCCCCTCTCATGAGTTGACTCTCCCTATTAGTCGTCCATACGTACAAATTCCGTGGACAGCAGCAGCAGTACACTACCACTACCACATAACGGTAGACTTTACTCGGTTGGATAGATAAGGATAGATTGAAAGAAAGAGGGAGAAAGATATAGTAAATGATTGAGTGAGAGAAAGAGAGAGAGTGAGAGAGAAAGAGTGTGTGCAGTGAAGGCTCGGCACACCACTACACACCACCATCTCCACCACCACTATTTCCTCTGATCGACGTCACCATCGTCTTCATCGCCATAGTCCGTGCATAGTGCCCATGAGTTTGGCGTTTGTCTTGTGTTTCGTGTTAATAGTAGGATGTTGTTTATGTTAACGACCTTTAACGCGCCCAAAGTAACGAATAGGACATTGAATAAGTGTTCAGTGTAGTGTGACATTCGTTTATCGAGTAAAACAAAGAGAGAAATAGTTTATTCCTTTTTTTTCTTTTTTCTAATTTCATTATATGTATATATCTTTTTTGATAACGGATGTGTGTGTATACATTATATACAGAGAGAGAGACAAAGAGAGAGAAAGAGATAGATATACAAAGAGAAGTGAAAAAATATAAAGAAGAAAAAAAGGAGGTCGCGTGCGCGCGTGTAAAGTGCAAAGATTTGACGAAAGAGAGACAAATATTATAACATTTATATACAATAATAAAAAAAAAAAAAGTACATAGAGAAGTGTAGGCAAATAGATAAATAGTTAGATAGACAGAGACAGGGAGATAGAAACGAAGAAACTGGTGTTATTAACAGTCCTGTGTTACACGTTCCTTGGCAGTGACCGAGAGTGTACCGGGCTGTATTTTTTCGTTGAGAGAAATTCTATTCTACCAAAACCACCATGGAAGTATCGAGAAGAGAAAAGAAACATAAAGAGAAGAGAAGGTAAGAGTAGTAACAACTTTCATCATCATATATTTCTTATTTTATTTTTGTTTATTTTCCTATATATTTGTGTCTCTTCAAATCTTCGATTTCTAATCGATGGAAAGAAAAAGATAAAAAAAAAAAAAAAAAAGTAAATCCAACCGATTGGTGTCCTATTTTTCTTCTAACACGACACAAAGTTGATGCTTTTAACTTTTATTATCGCGTGTCATCGAAAAGACGCTGTTCGAAAGATTAGTTTTTTTTTGTTCTTTTCTTTTTCCTAATGGCGAGCATAAAATGGAGCGACACACACCACAAGCTCATCAATTTTTTGTCCCCCCTTTAAGGGCATGTCAAATGCGTCGTTTCATATCCCTCTTTTGTACTTTCTTTCTTTCTTACTCTTACTTACTTTTTTTATTAATATTATTATTATTATTATTATTTCTATCTCTTTCTATCTTTCTCGCACATGTGTAAGCATGCACACATTTCTACTAATTTTTGTTGTTAATTATTCATTTTTACCACGTCTTCTTCTTCTGGCTATTTTTCTTTATTAGAATTTTTGCATGTGCTGCTTCATGCTTTTTTTTTTTTTTGAAATTGTAAATATTTATATATTACATACATATATATTTATATATGTAACACACATTCAGATTTGTAAAAGGACAAATAAACATGATGATATCTATTAACGAATATTTAATGAAAAAAAAAAAAAACATTATTACTATGTCAGGTAATCATTTTTGTAACGTTTATTGTGTCTTATCTAATGGCAAGACAAAATAATGTTAATTTTAATGTTATGTTTAAAAATATAACTTACGAAAAAGGTTCCTCCTTTTTTTTTTTTCTTATTCTTTTACTTTACATTTCGTTTCTTTCAGAATCTCTATGAACAATGTCGTGCATTAATAGTGAAATATTTTTGTTGTTATCTTGTTATTAATGTTATCTTTTTTATTAATGACTAAAAGAAATAAATATATTGAATGTATTTTTAATATTTTTTGATATTATTTTGTTTTTTTGTTAAATATATTTTTCAAGTCATTCTAATTCATAAAGATAAAATAAACGTACTGTAAACAGAAGAATACGGTTTTTAACAATTCAATAATTATTGTTAGGTAAAAATGAAGTTGTATGTTTTTTTTTTTTTTTTTAATAAATTTTTTATTATACATTAATTTAATCTTAGTTTACAAAAAATATAATTAAACTTAATCGGATACTTTTTACAGATTTTACAAAGGATGTTGTAGAAAAAACGTAACCTATGTTGGAGCTTCTCAAAGTATGGGTCACGACCCATGTGTACAAGGGTCTAGTAACTAAATTTGGGGGTTTGTAGAAATGTTAGTTAGTCTAATCAAATTAATACGAATTATATTGCATTGTTTTTGATACATGATATAATTATATTTCGTATGTATACCAAAGTATTGTTCCCAAATGAATTGTCCTTTATAATTTATTATTAGAAAATGTGTTTTAATTCGTGAAAGATAGTAGCCAAGTGGAAAAGTTTGTAAAGCCCCTGTGCTATGCCAATACTCCGATTGGATTCTGTATATACAGTGTGTAATAGAACACGTGAAACTTACTTTGAGAATTGATTGTACACATTAAAATAATGAAAAGGGTTCATATAAATATATGTTCTATCTGGTTTCGTTTATGAAACATAATCAATTCACTGTTATCTATTTTCCAGATATAAGAGATGCTCAAAATTACCATATTGCATTTCAATGAAAGCTCGTATCCGATTATACTTTGAATGGTTTTTACTGTTTCTCGATTTTGTTTAAATATTTGGTTCTATCTTAAACTTTAATATTGAATAATTATTTTAGAACTATTTACAAACAAAGAGTTTGCCACATTTAACAAACTTTTTACATCTTACAATTAGACAGATAAAACATACGTTTAAATTTACTCGTTTATTATTTTGATGTAAACGATAAACCCTCTAAATAATCATATCATATGTTCCGTTACATTTATGTATATCAAAATTTGTATGTGTATTATTTTCGAAAATGGGTGTTCGAACACTTGGCCTTTAGAACTTGACGATACTGCCCGCATATTTTACTAAACCAAATTTGTTGTTTTATTGTTCCATGTAGTCAGAGTTTTAACACAATTACTTTTTTCAAGTTCTATTAATTCATTTTTCTTTCACTTGCAACCATTTGTGACTTTCTCTTGAGTTTTCGTGCTGTGATAAATTATCGTTCATTTTTTCCTTACACACTACTTCTTATTCACCTCTTTACATACTCTTATTTTTCTTTTTTTTTTTTTCTTTCAAAGAATTCATTATACTCAATCATACTCTCTTAGAGTGTCCAATATAAAAAGAATCGTCCAAACGAACTCTATTGTCTGTTATTGGTCAGCTTTACCTAACGAAGAATCTACGTCGTGCGTCACAAAATGTTTCCTTCTCATTTCATTTTATTTCATCTCTTTCTTTCTTACTTGCATTATTTGTTTTTATTTTTTTTTAAGTTTACAATACACATTGTAACTTGTATATGGTCGTACATAATCTGTCGTGCCAATGAAACGGTACGGTTCTTTACTTCGATGACTTATTGTCGTCAACGGCACTTAAAATCTTGATAATCGATAAATAATCATTTTTATATGGTCAGCAGTTTAATTTTTATTTTTATTCGACATCAATTTATTTTACATATATATATATACGTAGTTTATACGTGTGTGTTGCTTCACACATCACAGTGAGGGCAACACACACACACAGACACCAAATACTCTGTCGTGTAAAGTACCCAGAAATTCTTGAGCAATTTTTTAACTTAACGATTTCTCTTTTTTTTTTTCTTTTTTTCTGTTTTTTTTTTTCCCCTAGCTCGACTTTGTAATTACGGTCAAGTGATGCCTTTTTGGTCTCTTTATTGTTTTACTTTTTTCTTTTTTTATTTCTAATAAATATAGCACGAAAATTTCGTATTTTAAAATCACGCGTTTCGATTTAACTCCGTGACGGTAAGGAAAATGGCGGAACTTGAAATTTTCATCGTAGATACGTTAAAATCAATACTGATAAATTTGAAAGATAAATAATACGAGCTTATCGATTTTTTTTCTTTCCTTTTATATATATATATATTTATAGAGAGAGTTATTTATAATGGTAATTTATTAACGAATATTTTAAAGCCGACTAATGACAGACAATTGTTCGTTGACCTCATTTCCATTAGGGAACAAAAAATAGCTTTTTTTTGTTTTGTTTCAAATGAAGTTTTTTTAGATTTGTAATATCACAGTTAGACTTTTTTTAAATTTCTTTTTTATCGGAGTATTATAACGTATATATTTCCAACAGAAATGTATTTATCTCGTTTGCCTAATCACATATTGCCCTTTGTCAATTTTATTAGATAGAAAAAGTTTTTAGGTTAGAATCATTCTTTTTCTTTTTTAATTACGAAAAAAAATATGTCAAATTAGAATAAGATTCTTTAGGGTTTTTAATAATGTCTTGAACAAAAATTTTTTTTTCATTCTTATTTGTTTGTTTGTTTGTTTATTTTCTTTCTTTATATTTCTTTGTCAAATATTTTCTTAATTTCTTTTCTTTCGGAATGATCATTCGTATTTGTAGATTCCTTAATGTCAGCGAAGCTCCAGCAGCGTATTATTTTTAGAAACACGGAAGAGAGTATTTTAGTTATTTTCTTTGAAAATACGAATTTCAACACTAAAGTATATTGAATTTTAATTTCTATTCCTCTTTTTTTTTTTACTTTTTTACTTTTTTTACTATTTTTAATTAATTCATTATCGTATTATTAGTGTAGTTTCATTTAAATGTAATACTCTAATCAAAATGAATATTGATCTCATTAGAAAGATAATTTACCCATTAATTAAAATATCATTATTATTAATTTATGTACTTATATGAACACATATACATATATGTGTGAAGCAATTGCACTATGTAACCTTAAATGCCTTAAAATAAACTATTATAGTTAAAGATATGAAAGAGTTACGATTTCATGATGAATAACGTTGAAACGTTAGACAATTTCTTGGTAACTATAATTTTCCATCTCACGATAAAGAAATTCTTGTGAATTTTAAATCACCATTTCTAAAATAAAATGTTTTAAGAAATAAAAAATTCCACGCTTATGTATTAAAAATAAACATAGAACTAGAATGACAAATGTACGTGTTATTTTAATTTATAATTGTAACATCTGGAATGATAAGCATGCCATAAATGTTACGATATCGCGTTACAGTTATCCTAACAGATGAATTATGTTTATTATTATTTTATATATATATATATGTATGTGTGTATCATGAATTACATTCGATAGGTTAATGTTCGAATAAAATAATATTGATTCATTAAATAATTTTGATCCTTTGCTTGTTTTTAATATTTTCATCTTCATTTTATCTCTTTTTATTTGTCTTCTTTTTTACTTTTTCATCCTACATGTGTGTGTGTGTGTGTGTACGTGTTTCTGTATGTATTTTATCACGCAAGTATTGCATTGAAAAAAAAAAAAAAAAAAAGAAAAAAAAATTAACCTTTGCTGAGAATAAAATGAACGAACGAAACAGGTGAAAAAAAAGAAAAAAAGAATAAAAAACGAAGCACACGGTGTATGTTATTATTCTCACGAAACATGTAAATTAAATAATACGTTGTTACAAAGATGATGATTATTTTGAACATTTTTTTTTTTTTCCAATGAAATCCCATTTGTAAGAGTAGGGAAAATTTGTAGCATGATCGTGATCACATACGCTTCGAATTCATTCCAAGAATTTCGTTTAATAACGAGAACAGTCAGAAAACGTCAATTATAAAAAATACGTCTAGATATTAATAATTTACGTCACAGAGATTAAAGTTATGGTCAGCGAAGTTTAAAGAGGAAAAGAAACGAACGAATGTAAGAAAGAAAGAGAGAGAGAGAGAGAGAGAGAGAGAGAGA